ACGAAACATACGACGAATTTAAATGGCGTGTGATTAATACATTGAAAGCTTTTTCAGTCACACAAATAGATAAGACTATAGCTTCAATGAACAAGCGCATAGATATGGTGATCCAAAAGAAAGGCGATCGAACAAAATACTAAACATATCCAATTTTTTTATTTGCACATGTCAATAAATGCATTCGTAATATTATATCAACGAAATTATTTACATGTTGTAGCTATGAGTGCTTATAAGTAAAACAGTGCGTTGCGTGACATACGTCATACATTGAATGGTGTCACGAACACGATTAACACAATAAAACTTGGCTTTTTTGCTAAACTAACTTCAAAGTATTGAATTATGAGTTCTAGAAATATACATTTAAGAATATTCTGCTAATTTATTCGATTAACAAGAGAATTGTTTGCGTAAATAACGGTTAACAGCGATTTCATGGGAATTAAAAAGATTCTGAGAGGGCTCAAACACATTATTATAAAGACGGCTTGTTAACCGTTTAAACGCTATGTTAATCGTGGTATTTTTCAACAATCAAAAACAATATGTTATGTTAATCGATATTGAAATCGATAATCGATATTAGACAAAATGATGTACTTTACCTATATAATATTAGATTTGCAAAACATTTTGAGCATGACGGTGCATGACGCTGTTGCTCACGAGGAATCTGATGGTTTAGTTGTATGATGGTCCAGCGGACTCTCATCATCTCGGTTTCTCTATCGTCAATCATTCCGTTTTTGATGAAAACGATGGCATTTTTGCTTGTGCAGAAGATTGGAGTGTCTAGGTGGAAATCTATATCCTTGGCAAAGTGGGTTTTGGGTGCTGGAAAATGAACAACTTGACCCTCCAGAAGCAACAGGAGATCTTGCCATGGTATTACTTGCGGTGACCATCGGAAGTCATTTAAAAAGATGCACTCTGCCTTTTCGACGCCAATCCACGCGAAGCTTCCAGTTGCAGGATTGCAGAATGTGTTGTAGATAGAGGTCAATGGGTTAAGAATGAAAGTTTTACCACAATTTGCGGGACCAATAATKATGATATTTCGATATTTTCCGCGTCCCTTGACAAGTAATTCGTGGACTGTGTTGGCAAAAAATTCTCTTGACACTCCATTTCTTTGTAGTATTTCCAACGCACAAGTCATCCATTCACCATTGCAATTTTCAACACACGCTCCGTTTTTTGCTTCATTTAAAAGGTCTAGACGACTACATTGTACTCGTTGTAACTTCTCCTGAGCATTTTCTATCTRCCATGTTGTTGTTAGGATATCAGCYATCGCACGTGGTGTGCGATTTAACAGGAACTCAGCAAGATCTGTTTTTCCCTCCTTTTTTTGTTC